GTTACAGCTTCTCTGAGCACATCATTCCTCTTCTGCTTTGGGTTCCCTCCTGTCTCCCCATTGCACTTCTGCTCAGAGGGCACCTAAGCTGCTGGCAGGGTTTACTGGGTTTACTGGCTTGTCTCAGCTCGGGGACAAGCAGTACTCACAGATTGGCCCTGTCTGAACACTTTGGATCTAGTTGCTGGATCCCCTCAAGTGCTCGGGTCCTTTGGTCCTTGCCTGGGCTTTCTCTACCTGCTGCTCCACGGCTGTGCCATGCCATGAGGAGCCTTTTGGTGCCCCATGTGTGTGGGTGGCTCTGTCCTGGCCCCGTGCCGGCACCCAGGACCTCTTCCCTGTGCACTGGGTGATGCAGCACCTCATAGGGACCAGGCATCCCCATCTCAACTAGTTCCAAGTAAGGCCACATACTTTCCTCGGGTTACGTGAGCACCCCATGCACCGCACTGACCAGGCCCAGAGGAGAAACCCAGCCTGCTACACCATGCCAGCAGCACTGGAGAGGCCTGAAGGAGCAGCACAGGTCCCTGGCAGGAGGGAAGCACCATTTCCCTGCTATCTCTTGAGGCTTTCCCCTTCCCCTCCCAGGCAGTGCTGGCTGCTCAGCTTTAGCCATCACCTGCCTTCTAAACCCATTGTTTTCGGTGGCAGGGCTGCAGCAGACAACGGAGGACTACTCGGGCTGCTCACGCCTTTCCCGTCTGCTTTAATTAGGGAAGGCTGCTCCCATGCTGCAAAGGTCCTGGGATCAAATCTGGCTAATAACCCCCTTCCCCCCCTTCCCTGTGTTGTTCCACTTAATCCTGTAATTACCTCTGCAAAGCTGCCACTGCCCCTGGTCTGCTGGGCGGTGACTCTGGGCCTGCTGTAGGCACCAGCATCTGTGTTTGGGGAAGTTTGCACTCTTTGGTCTGGCTCATCTGCTGCACCTGCCTCATGTATTCAATTTTGGGGACCAAGCACCCGCCTGATGGCTTAGCATCAGGAGACCCAGAGCTCTGGGTGTGCATCTGCACCCAGCATCACTCTCAGCAGCACTGCCTCCCGGGAAGGCAATGGGAAGTGGAACCCACGGTGGGCTGGAGCATCCCCCTGACAAGCCTCCCACAAGGCAGGGAAACACTGCCGGTCGCCTTGGGAAGTGTGTTGCTCTAGGGAGAAGGGGTGTGGAGGCGTTGGATGCAGTAGCTAATTTTTTTAAAGCACTTCTGAAGCACTACAGCAGTGTGACTTCCTTCCAAACCGCACGGCTGTTAGCATTCCCTGCGCGGAGGAGTGAGGAAATCGCCCACCTCAAAAATGCAGCCGCTGCTGGGGAGGAGCCGGGAGGGCGGCTGCTTCCTCGGGAAGGGTGAGCCCTGCTGCCAACATCCCCCCAGCCTTGCGGGTACTGCTGGTGGCCGGGAGCTGATGGCCACCCGGGAGCCTCACTGGGGACACCTTCAGGATGCTGTCTGTGAAAGATGCACCCCATCACTTATGTCCCTCCTCATGCTGGATCCAGGCGCGTGCTAGGCTGGATTCAGCACCAAGGGGCTCATCCCATCACTCCCTGCTGAGTCAGCAGCGTCTCCATTTGATCTGAACTGGGGGCAGCAAAGATGGGAAGTGGAAAGGGGGGGCAGATGGGGGCCAGGAAGAGAAATACCCACTCCTGGGCCTCTCTGGCAGCTTGCCGGCAGTCCTGGGGTCACACTGAATATGCATAAAAGGGAGCAGATTGCAGTTTACCCTCCTCTCCGATACAGAGGTGAGGCCCGCAGAGACCACCGGCCCTCAGCAGGATAATGGGGTGAGCCGAGTGCGGAGTGTGCATGCCTGTGTGTGGTCTTGAGGATGATAATGATTTCCATTCATGCCCTGCCTCCACAGTGCTGATGCGCTGCTGGTCGAGTGTTGGCTCCCTGGTGGCTGCTCCTTGGCAGGAGTAGAGTCCCCAGAAGTTGGGCACCAAATCTCTGGGCTTGTGCCTTGGTATGGCTGGTGGGAGGGACAGAGTTTCCCATCAGGGCAGGGAGGACGGGCAGGAGATGCTCATGCTCCCCATGTGCCCCAAAAGCAGTGGTAACGCCAGCCCAGGTCCTAGACCTGCTGCCCTAGCCCTGCTCATAACACTTTTGTCTCTGTGCTCTCCCCGTGCTGCCATTGGGTGTTGGTGCTGTCTCTCTCCCCTGGGCAGGGGTTTCCCACCACCTTCATGTCTTACTAAACGGGGAATTAAAGGGCCTTTGCAGGTGGCACACCTGAGTGTGGCCCTACTCATGTCCCCTTGCTGTCATGTGGCAGAGAGGCAGTGGTGGATGTAGAAGACTTCTTCTTGGCAGGGTTTAGCCTTGTTTGATACATTCTCAGTTGCCCTGGGGTGGATGGATGCAGCTGCTGAGGCATCCCTGGAGGTTTCTCCTCTCTCCTCCCGGTGCAGAGGTCTTCCCACAGGGTTGTCCCCATGCTCTGTGCTGCCCTGGGGCTGGTGGGATGGGAGGTGGTGGTGGCTGCACCTGGCTGGGTTCCCCTCTGTGGGGTGTGCGGCAGGATGGGGATGATGGGGGAGCTGGCAGCATCACAGGACTGAAGGAGCTGTGCTGGGTGTCCACAGGTATGTGTGTGGCCAGGTGTGCCGGGCATTGCAGGGGAGTCTGTCAGCATTTCACAGCCTGCTGTGCTGGGTGTGAGCACAGGAGAAGGGCTCTGCCTGTGGGCTGGCAGGGACTCTGTCTCGCTGCCCACTGCTAGGCATCAGGCAGGTGCTGGGGATGGTCCCATTAGGACTGTGTTGTGGGGAGTTAACCAGGCACTGTCTTTGCTCAGCAGTTCCTGGACAGGCAGATGCTGGGGAGCTTGTAGCAGCTGTGGCTTTGCCTCCTGCCCAGGAGGCGGCTGCCTGTAGTGGGGCCAGGGCTCCTGACAGAGCCCTGTGGGCTGCCTGCAGCAGAGGATGCTGTTCACTGCCTGGTGCTTGTGGCACTGTGCTTCCTCCACTGCAGTGACTGCTACGTCCCTGCTGCTCCCCTGTCTACTCCGGTAGCCCTTGCCTGCATGCCACACTCCTGGAGTAGGGGATTCTTGGTGCTCCAGGGACAGCATCCCTTGTCTTGCTGCCTGCTGGCTTCCCAGCCACTGAACCGTGGGCTGCTGTGTTCTGGAAAGGTTCTGCAGCACTGCTGGATAGCAGGGGATGCACTGCTAGGGCAAAGCAGAGACCACCAAGGGAGCCGCCAATTTTTCAGCAGCAAGTATGTCCTTTTCCATCAGCAGAGGATTAAGCAGCAAGGAAACAGCATGGAGGTGGCAGGGCCAGGATTTGTCCTGGGGAAGATGTCCAGGGACGGGCTGAGACCCCTGTCCCTGCTCCCCTGTCTGTGGGCACAGGCTCTGGCACTGGCTGCCCAGCTGAGCATGGCTGGGAAGGGAGGAGCTTCCCCCCATTAGCGGTTTGGCAACCCAGAGAGAGGCAGCTTTCTTCCACAGCCACGGCTCCTTTTTTTTTTGCAAAAGGGAAAAAAAAAAACCCAAATCCCAGATCATTTCAAAGGTGATGTCCCCTGCCAGCCTCCTTTGGCTGGAATGGGCAGCTGGACAGGCAGGAACAATGTTGGGGGCTGTAGATGGGGAGCAGAGCATCTGCTATGCTGGGTCGTGCTACTGGCACAGGGCTTGGTTCCTGAGAGTGAAGCACAAAACCCAAGTCATGCTGTAAGGTTTTACTAGTGGGAGAGGGGACGATGGTGGGATCCCCTCCTCCTGCCCTGGCCATGGCACGGGCTGGTAGAGGCCAGAGAACCCAGCTTGGTGGCTGGGGCAGGCAGCGCTCAGCACAGACCCTCCAGCTGAGCATGTGGGATGGCAGGGCTGATGCCATCTGCCCAGCTAGGCAGCTTAAGTATCTACCACCAACTGCAGCACTTGGGGCCATTCTCCAGTGAATGTGTGAGCTGTGGCTGCTCACACGATGCTGTGGATGGGGCATGGCTGATCTGCACCTTGTGGGATGCTCCTGCTGCATCCAGGGCTGGTGGGAGGGGATGTGACCTCCAGTCCCTCTTCCACCCTCAAAGCCAGCAATGCGGGAGGCGGGCCATGTCCCCTGGGAGCCACCCAGCATCTCCTGGCCCTGTCCTGCAGCTGCCAGGAGAGGAGCCCAGCCAAGCCCTGCATTTGGTCCTTGCCTTTCCCTCCATTAACAGACAGGCCAGACCCAGACCTGGGTTTCTTGGGGGTGAGGCCAGAATAACCTTTTGCCAGTGGGAATACTCAGGTAGTGTGGTGGTAGGATTTGGAGGTATCCAGCCCCTGGCTCAGAGAAGCCATTGTGCCCATGGCCAGCGGGGTGTGCTGGGACTGTGGCACAGCAGGGAAAGTGGTGCTGGACCCAGGAGTCCAGGGGCTTCATCCTGGTGAGCTCCTGCCTGTTGCAAAATGCCCCCACAAGGTGTTTTCACTGCTGCTCCTTTCTCCTGCACTGGCAGGGCTGTTTTGGGCTGCAGTTGAATAACTTGGAGTTCGCAGCTACTGACCTGAAAGGTCTCCCCAGCTCTTCCCCACCACCAATCCTTGGCAGCCGTGCAGTGACAGGGGTCTCCAAACTGTGTGACAGCCAAGACCGCTGGCAGGTGTGAATGTTCCTGTCACCCCTGAGACAGTTTGTAAGAGGACAGAGAAGAGCTGGACCCTGATTTCAACCTCCTCCTTCCAAAGCTCAGCTCCTTTTGCCATTTCCCATGGTATTTCACTCCTGCTGATGAGTAGCAAGGGATTGGCATGGATAAGGCAGCGCAAAATAGTCACCTCCCTGCCCGCTCCCAGGATGCTGCATCAGTAGATGTGGGGTGGGAAGGTGGGGCACAGGTTGAGGGCCAGACCAGAGGGTGTTCCCCATCCCTTACCAGCCTCCCCGCATGGGCAGTGCTGAGGCTGTGCTTCTCCCGGTGGGGCTGCTGGTGCCATTCACTCTCTTTGCTCTCACCCCAGGGAGGAGCCTCTTCCCTCACCCCAGGAGGATGGAGGTCCTGCAGCTGCTACGCCTGCTCCTCACCACCACCATGCTGGGCCTCTCCCAGACGGTGAACCCCTTCATGGCCCAGCAGACCCCCCCAGACCCTTGCTATGATGAGAGCGGCGCTCCTCGCCGCTGCATCCCTGAATTCGTCAACGCTGCCTTTGGGAAGGAGGTTCAAGCCTCCAGCACGTGTGGTAAGCCCCCGACACGGCACTGCAATGCCTCGGACCCCCGCCGAGCCCACCCACCCGCCTACCTGACTGACCTCAACACCGCCTCCAACATGACATGTTGGCGCTCAGAGACCCTCCACCACTCACCCCAGAATGTCACCCTCACCCTCTCCCTTGGCAAGAAGTTCGAGGTGGTCTACGTCAGCCTCCAGTTCTGTTCACCCCGGCCTGAGTCCACTGCCATCCTCAAGTCCATGGACTATGGCAAGACCTGGGTGCCATACCAGTACTACTCCTCCCAGTGCCGTAAGATCTATGGCAAGCCCAGCAAAGCCACTGTCACCAAGCAGAACGAGCAGGAGGCCCTCTGCACCGATGGCCTCACTGACCTCTACCCCCTCACTGGCGGGCTCATTGCATTCAGCACCCTTGACGGGCGACCCTCTGCCCAGGACTTCGACAGCAGCCCCGTGCTGCAGGACTGGGTGACAGCCACCGACATCCGTGTGGTCTTCAGTCGCCCACATCTCTTCCGCGACCTGGGCGGTCGGGATGCTGGTGAGGAGGAGGGGGGCACCAGCTCGACCCCCTATTACTACGCAGTTGGGGAGCTGCAGGTCGGCGGGCGCTGCAAGTGCAATGGGCACGCAGCACGCTGCGTGAAGGACAAGGAGCAGAAGCTGGTGTGCGACTGCAAGCACAACACAGAGGGTCCTGAGTGTGACCGCTGCAAGCCCTTCCACTATGACCGGCCCTGGCAGCGGGCCAGTGCCCGTGAGGCCAACGAATGTCTGGGTAAGTGATTTTTAAATACTTTTTTCTTCCAGGGTTGAAACCCCAAAACAGGTCATTTGGGGAGGAAGGGATGGGTGCTAGGCCAAAGCAATGGAGTGTGCTTCTCTGGGGATGCTGGGGAACATCCCCCTTGTTGGAGGGCTGGAAAGGCTCAAGCATCTGCTCTGTCTCTGCTGCAAGTGCCCCTCTGGAGGTGCAGTGGTTTGGCCATGAGCCAAAGCATCAAAACCCTCCAAAAAATCACTGGTGTCATCCAGCTCATCAGCAAACCCTGGTGTGGAATGTGGGATGCCCAGCTGGGAGTGTTTCCCTTGGGCAGCAAACACAAGGGTTTGGGAGGGGGAGTCATGGCAGTCCCCTGTGAGATGTACTTTGGGGCAGGGAGCAGGCAGCATAACCTGGCAGAGATTAAGGAAATACTTGAGATACCCCAGTTCAACATTTTGTCATTTGCGTTTGGTCTGGCATGGTGCTTTGCGTGGTGGTTTTAGTTTGTCTGTCCTTGCAAAGGTTTCCATGAGTTAAAAATACTGTCATCGAAACTAAACATTTCCAAAACATCAAACTGGCATTGCTTGGCTGTCCCGCTTGTGAATCTTTGTGGGATTTTGGTGGAGGTTTTTGTCTTTTGTCCTGATTTGGGATGCACTTGGGGGATGCCAGAGCCCTGTGAAGGTCTGGGAGAGGGATGAACAGCTTCTCGCTTCTCCTGGACTGGAGCCTGGGTCCCAGGGGGTGGTGGGAGGATGGAGACAAGGGAAAGCCATACCATTAATCAGTCCCTGAAAGGCTCAGTGGATGTGCCAGAGGTCAGAGGGACTTGTTAGTATTTGTGATTGATGTCTTGTTGAGATCCTAGCTGTCGGCTTAAATATATATATGTTACAGCAGATTTCTTCTAAGAACGGCTAAAAAGGCAGTGGATTCAAAGCAAATGCTGGATCTGATGCTTTAAACCACCTCACGCCCTGTGGGAACGTGTCAGCCCTTGCGTTTTCCCACTTGTCTCAGAAAGATGAGGTTTGGAGCAAAGCACGGAAAAAAAAACCCTCAACTCTATCCTCTGCCCACGGCTGCTCCCTCCAGCTGTCAGCAGGTCAGGCAAGTGAGGGCTGTGGCTGGTGGGTGAACCCATAGAAACACCCTGGGACAAAAGGAGGACCTCGACCCAATGGCTGCCTCCCTTGTGGCACCCCATGCTGCATCCTCCTCACAGCTGAGTGCTCTGGTAAAGCAGCGTGATGGCAACAGAGGTGGCTCTGCTGGCACAAATGGGGTTAAACCAGAGGAAGCTCATTTTGGGGGAGCATCCACAGATGTCCAGTCCCTCTGTCCATCTTGTCCATCGCAGGGTGAGGGTCCTGCTCCGCAGGGCTGTGTTCTTGAGCATCCCTGTCCCCATGTACATCACCCTTTTGGCAGATGGGGCTGAAAAAATAAATGAGGGAGAGCAGAGGAGGCAGGGGTGAAGCGCAGTCCCTTCAAGCTCCCCCCTGACAAGCCCCATGCACAAAGACCCTTCCCCAAGCTGCGTGTGAAAGTAGTTTTTCCTGTTGATTTGCTCGCCTTCTTTCTCCCTTTCCCTCTTGGGCTTTGTGCCCTGTCTGAAGGGACCTGAAAGAGCTTCTCCATCACCCGCCTCCGAAGGGCTTAGCAGCTGAAAGCTGGATTAGCTCCCTGAGCCTTCCCCTCTGTGCCTTTCAACAATGACATCTCCCCAGCCAGCATGAACAGACGCAGCAATTAGCACCAATTAAAAGGAGAGGCCGCCCGGGAAGTTCCCTTTGCTCAGCCTGGGGGCTGTGGGGTTTCAGACTCTGTCCTGCGGCCAGGCATCAGTGATGCTGGCTCATGGTGGTGGATGGTCGCGTGTAGCTGGGGAGGGGCGAGGATGAGGAGGGTGGATGGATGCAGGAGCCTGGCAGCCCAGTGCCAGCTGAGGGGCAGGTTGGGGGGCTGCAGCACCCCAAAAGTGGATCCAGATGGAGCCATGGGGCTGATACAGCTTCAGTATGATCTGGGGAGTCACCTCTTGGCTCTGTGCTCCCCAGCACCCTGCATGGGTTTTTGTCCCCCTCCAGTGCACAGGAGTCTCTGCCTGCTCCAGCATGGGGACATACTGGTGTTCTGCACCATGTCACGGTGCTGGGACATTCATCCACCCAGCTGGAGGTGAAGACAAACTTTTCTTATTTCACAAGAATTTCTGCCTCTGGCTGATGCGGGGGAATGCAGAGGTGAAACAGCCCAGTGATACCTAAGGTCTGAGCATGGGTGTGGGGTGTGACCCCCACCACAGCTGCCATCAGGTGGCCGTGACATTTGCAGGGACATCGCCGAACGGTGGTGTTACAGGAGTCAGCGTGACTTTGGCAAGCAGGCAAGTTTGGGCATGTCACAGCCAGGATGGCAACAGTGGATTTGCCACACTGCTGGCTTGGCAAGAGGATATGGTGCCAGCTCCATGCCACAGGGTGCGTGGCCCCATGCTTGGTGGTTAGAGAGAGGTGCCATCGGTTCACA